AGTAATCTTTGGATACTATATATGTATTTATCTTCTTTACTGATGCCACTAGTTGTTAGATTTATATTATCATGTTTTAAGTTAGTAATCTTTGGATACTATATGTATTTATCTACTTTACTGATGCCACTAGTTGTTATTTGTATTTACCTTTTTCATCTGGTGTTTGATTTTAGAACATATTTGACAGAGTGAAAACAGAACACCCTGATAATCTACCACAAGATGAGGTTATTTCAAAGTTCAGTGACAACAATGATGATGATCTGGATAGTTCAAAACATGGTGTTATGAATGTGCAAACAGAAACTGAATTTCAAGATTTACAACAAATTGAATCTAGGTTGGAAAGTACATGTAGTAAGTATTAATATTTGAAACCTCTAAATTCTTTAACACTGATAAAGATTTGATAGAATTCTTGGTAATGAGGGGGGATTATAGAGCCATATTTGGTGTGTTTGATACCTTAACTTGGGAATTATCAAATTAAAGGTATTAAAGTGATAAAATTACTATAAGACAATTGAAAAACATTTAAACAGAGTTTAAATGGTAATAGATTTTTAAAAATAAAACTTTCTAATGGACAGTGCTTCCTATTTTCCTGATTCTTTATGTATAGAGCTCATGGGTAGTGGTAGGAATGTGTTTCTATAAATCAGTGTATAAACATGCAGGAAACGTGCTACTATTATTGATTTTCTAAATGCAAGAAGTTAATTATGGGTGATTTTAATTTCAGGCATATAGATTGGGAAATATCAAACTGTGAGGGTGAGAGGTTTTTGAAACTGTTCAAGATGGCTTTCTTCACCAATTATATAGATAAATCTGTATAGGTGACATAGATATCAAATTAAATAATAGGTTGAACAAGTTTTTTGTATTTTTATTTAAAGAAGGATGATGTTTCAAGTTAGCGCTCTACGCCAGATCGTACATACAGCTTACAACAAAGACACGTGCAGAATACAAAGAATTTGCATTGTTTTCTTTCTTCTCCAATTAGTCAAGGAACCTACTAGAAACAATGCTATTTTAGATTTACTGTTAACTTCGAATATAGAAATGATTGAGAGGGTGGAAATTGGGGAACATCTGGGTGCAAGTGATCATTGCTTTATTAAGTATATTTTTCTACATATGGGGATAAGAAATAATGATATTTTGGTTACAACTTTCAAATAAATTTTGAAGGGATGCAACAAGAATTATCTATTGTAAATTGCCCAGCTGAGTTATTTGGAAACACTGATCAGATGTGAAAATATTTAAATATAAATTTTTAAATATTCAATGTAAACATATTCCAAAGAAAGGGGTAGCTGCAAGTTAAAAAATCAGGTTGGCTCACAAAGAGTATGAGAGATAAAATTAAAGAAAAGCATAATAAATTTTAGAAATTTATATTGACTGGTATGACAGGAGATTTAGAAGATCAAGAAAGATTGTGAAACATAACATTAGGACATCAAAAAGAATGTGTGAGAAAAGGTTTGCTGAAGATTTCAAAATTATCAGTAAGGGTTTCTTTAAATACATTAAGGATAAACAAAAGGTCAGGATGGAGTAGAACTTTTGAGGGATAATGAAGGAAGGCTTGTATCTGATTATGAGATGGCTGGGTTATTAAATTTTCCTTTTCTTTAGTTTTTACTAATAAAGATTTAAACAGTATTCCACATCTTGAACAGTTGATAGATGAAAATGAGATCAAACAAGATGACTGCATTATTTCTGAGCTTGTTAAGAAAAAATTGGGAAGTTTAAAGAACAATAAAGCTCCTGGGTGATATAATATTTCCCAATGGGTTTTGAAGGAGGTTAAAGATTGGATATGTGACCCACTTGCTACTATGTTTTGTCAGTCCTTGAACAGTGGGCAGGTACCAGAGGATTGGAAGTTAGCTAATCTAACTCCTCTTTTTCAAGGGAGGTGATAAAAACTGTCTCAGTAATTATAGACCCATTAGTCTTACATCAGTTGTGGGAAAAGTTTGATAAAAGATGCTTTGTAAAGTCATTTAACAAAGTTTAGAATTTTATTGGATAATCAACATGGTTTCACTAAGGGAAAATCTTGCCTTACAAATCTTTACCATTCTTTGAAAAGGTTACTGTTTATGTAGATGAGGGTAAGGGTGAAGTTTTGGTATATCTAGATTTTCAGAAAGCATTTGACAAGGTGCCACATATAAGGCTTGTAAAAAAAATTATTTCTATAGGTGTGGGGGATAGGTTAGTAGAGTAGTTGCGTATGGTCTTTCTCACACCTCCAAATTCGTATTCATGATCCAGTCAATGAATGCTTCGCCTGCTTCATGGATTGTACCATATCCCCTGGTACCGCAGTGACCGGACAGTGCAACTCAAGATGGTTTGTGTCTTGTGGGGATTCCTGACATGCTGGGCATATAGGAGATTCACAGTAACCCCACTGATACAGGTTGGCCACTGTTCTGCCATGGCCTGACCTCAGCCTGTTTGCTTGTGTCCATTGCTTTCTTGTTAGGTGATAGAAACCAGGCATTGGCTCAGTGGGGTCCCCCACCAGGTCTCCACCCCTGGGAGGGCACTCCCTCCATTCCTCTCTCCAAGCTTCCTTAATGTTAAAGTTTTCAAATAACGACACACCCTTGAAGCAAATAATTGACAGAGCACCCACCACTTCAAGACTAAAATGACAGTGTTTCTAATGCGTTGTTGCTGCTTTTGAGTGGCCTTCTCTCTACGGAAGTGTGGTGGAGCAATCGCACTCATTGTTGGCAACCAAGTCGATGATGTAGATTTGATGACACCAGATATAATTTGCATCATTTCATTCATCTGGGCATCGACTTTTCTTGTGTGGGCACAATACTCAGCTACGCTGTAGCATAGGGCCAGTTCGGATGTTCTTAACACAATTTGAAAGGTTCCCCATGACGATCTGGCTAGCTTCCTGATCAGCGAGTTCCTCTTCTTTAGTTTTTGTGCAGTATTTTCTAGGTGTTATCTGTATGTTAAGGTTCTGTCGAGTACTATTCCGTGATATTTAGGGTGTTTCTCTGATGGGAATAGTTCATTATTAAGCTGTATTTGCAGGGTTTGATTTGCTTGATGGTTATTGAGGTGAAATATTGTCGTCACTGCTTTTGTGGTGTTTTTTTTCAGGTACCAATTATCAAAAAGGTCTGAATAGCTTGAGTGTGTCTGCTAAATATGGTCTCCAATTCATTCACGTTGGCTAAGTCATCTGCATATCCAAACTTAAGGGATCTTGTTGCGAGCATGTCGCTAATATAAACATTAAACAAGGTTGGTGCCAGGACTGATCCTTGAGGGACTCCATTTTTTATTTTCCTGCTCTTACTGATGTCTTTTCCCAGACATATGTGAAAAGTTCTTATTCCTGTCATTTTGTTTAAAAGTTTGAGGGTTTTCTTGCTAATTGATGACTTTGACAAGTTTCAGCATTAGCCCCTTGTGCCAAACGGTGTCATAGGCTGCCGAGAGGTCTATGAAGACGGTACCTGAATTGGATAGAAAAGTAGCTAGATGGAATAAAGTAGAAAGTTGTTATAAATGAAGTTAAGTCAAACTGGATTAATGTTACAAGTGGGGTACCTCAGGGCTCAGTCTTAGGACCTTTGATATTTTTATTTACATCAACAACATAGATGAAAGAATAGTCAATAAATTACGTAAATTGGCAGAT